CAGGGCCTTCAGTCCAAATCAATTACTGTTCGTCAACAGCCAGGGTGCAAAATCCCGGTCAACTGAAACTATTTAATGCTAATTATTATACAGATATTAGTTAATATACAGTAAATGACCATCAATTGGCTTCTCAACCTGAAATTCAAGTTTATAATTAAATGGAGTTAGATACGATTTTAACTGAAGTTTTGTTGAATCTTTAAAAAATGATAATAAAAATAAAAATAAAATATAAATGTTTAATATAATAAGTGTGATTTCTTATGAATTTGAGCCGATGCGGCGAGGGACCGAGCAGTATACTGTTATGAACCTGCTGGTTTGGGCGAAGAGTGGCTCAGAAACAATAAAACCTGTTTATGTGGATTCTTGACATAATTATGAATTTGCTGATGAAGACACGAAAGGGAACTCAGTTTGGTCGTGTGCTGTCCGAGCTCTGGCTTTCACACTGTCTCACGCTTGCAGGGCTGGCCCAAGCCTTATGGGCTTATATATATTTTTTTCGTTCAAAACATTGATAAATATAAATATTTTTCATTAAGAGCTCAACTAAGACATATTTGTTTGGACAAATGTAAAATAACAAGGCTACGTTAAATTAACTCATATTATTAAGCTACACACACTGGTGCAGCGAGTCATTTCGTCACCGTGATTGACACTGTGTTTTAGATAAGTTAGTTCGATGGACGCTCCTTTCCGCCATTTACCTTTTATTGCTGTTTCTTTTCCTTGAGAGACTGTGTATTTTGTCTAATCGACCGGACATTTGTCATCCGTTAGCTAGTTTTCTCACTCGCCTGCAGCGGACAAACCGCGCTTGAACCCTGACCGGCGAGTTCGACTGATGTTTTATTCACATCTTCCTGTTTCTTTTTCATTCTGTGTTGTTTGTGAGGAGTGTAAGTTAATTTTACTCATACAGCAACCGCGATTGCAGCGGAGGAATAAATAAAGAATAATTTAAAAAAAAAACAGATTCTGTTCAGAGCCCTCTTAACTACTATCTTGTTTTGGAAGGAAGAAGAAATGGAAGAGATGCTTTGGAATTGTAAGTATGGCCCTCATATCTGTGAAAAGAGAGCACACTATTTAAACATTATCCCCCGGTTTCACAGACAAGCCTTAAGGCTGGTCTCAGACTAAAATGCATGTTCAAGCTGTCTTAACTGAAAACATCTACTAACACATCTTAAAATACACTGTTAGACATTTGAAAGGGTTTTTACAGTAACTTACTGGCAACACTGTTAGCTAGCCATAAAACTTGTTTAACCTAGCTAACATACAATTATTGGCTACTAGCCAACATTAACTACTAACACAAAATTTCACATTAGCTAACTTAATGTTAATACAAGATAATCGTTGCTCGTTAAAAAAATATTTTAATTCGGTAATTCAATAAGCTGACAAAGTCGTTTGAAACGACAGCGCAGTTTACCACAGTACAGTTTGTTAGCTAACATGATGTAGGCCTATTCTTGGAAAGGAGCTGGCAGCAGAAATCACACAACAAAACTAAATGTTATCATTTCATATTAAGTAAACAATTTAATAATGCAATTGAAAACAAGGTAATTGATATGACAACTAAAAACAATTTATAATAAATGAATGCCCGCGATTTCAATATTCATAAGGATTAATTTTTAGGTGTCGTCAATACGTCAGTTTTGTTCGTTTAAATGCTGAAAATACGTCAGTATTGTATGTTTTAGTGCCTGTAAAAACGTAAGTAAATGTACGTTTTATAGAACCACATTTTACGTAAAATGCGTAGGAATTATCATGAGATCACGTTGTCGACACACAGCACAGATGTTCTCCGGAACTCTTCCACTCTCGCGGGTTCATACCCGGCGCTGCTTCCGTGTCTTCCTCGGACACATACTATCTACAGTAAAGAGATGCCCCGGGATATTTCTGACGTACAGTAGTACTCCAAGTGCTCGCGCTGTTTCTGACACGAAGGGCAAACGCCCGGATTTTCCGATCATTACAAGCGATGCAACACGGCCAGTAGTCATCACAAATTACAGTTTTTGGCAGTGAAAAAGAAAAAGTAATTGTATAATTTACAGTGAATAACCGTAAATTGACACTCCCAGAATTCCCTGCATGACACTTCATATTTTATGTTTTCTTTTGGAAGAGCTGTTTGTGATGAGCTTTGGTTCATCATGTGACTTTCTCATCACCACCTGTTTTTGGTGGTTATCAGCATTTCAGTGGTTTAAAACAGATATTAGTACTTCAATATGCTGGTTTATTAACATTACATCAGTTAATGAAATAAGTTTTTTTATTGTGAATTTAAGTTAAGTCTGTAAGACCTAAAATGTTTGTACCATATTTTTAACGGTGAAGTTCTGGCAACCACAACCGGTATTTTACCGTAAATGTCACAGATTTTTTTTTACAGTGCATGGTTACAGAGCACTGAACTAAACTGTGGTCAAAACCAACAGCAGTAATAGAACACTCTTTAAATGAATTAAGTTGGTGTCTGTATCCATAAAATCTATATTATCTTATAGACCATAAGCCTCTGTGAGTGATACATTCATCCATATATCAACAATTTCATTAGAATTCATAAATTGTATACATGATGGCATAAGGGGTTTTATCTAATCACTGTTTACAGTTAAAATCCACACCTAAAATCAAAACATCCTCTGCATTACAATTCACTAAGACATTACTCGGAGTATCTAAAAAGTGCATCCTTTCGACTGCTCTATAGGAGCATATACAGAAATAAAAAATTAAAAAAATCTCAAACTGGGCTCTGATTTTTAGAAGTCTACCTTTTATGATGTCTTCCACTTGAAGAGAAGGATGGATCTAGGGAAGGAAGTGGCAAAGAAACAAGGACAGGAAGGCTTTTACTCATCTGGTGTGTACTGTCCGTATCTCAGGATATCAAGATATGCAATATTTTATAACAAAATATGCAGTATCATATACACACACACACACACACACACACTCTCTCTCACACACACACACTTCGGTTCTTGCTCAAGGGTTTCTCTCCTCAGTCGTGGTATTGAAGGTGAAGAGAGCGCTGGTTATTTACTCCCCACACCTACAATCCCTGCCGGACCTGAGACTCGAACCCGTGACCTTCGGATTACAAGTCTGACTCTCTAACCAGACAGTTAAGAGTCAGCCACACCTACCTAAAACGCCTCGTTCTAACACGACCCCTCATATATCAAGATATGCAATATTTTATAACAAAATATGCAGTATCATATAATTTAAGCAAATCAACAAACAAAAGTAAAATTAATAAAACAAACAAGAATAAAGAAACGCATGCATTCTACTCATATGTAGCACAAGGGGTAAAACAAAACAGATACTATTATTTAATCCAACTTTAAAGACTCAGAACTACAAGAAAGACTGGAGTGCCTGCTACGTCTTCAATAAAGAGGAAAGGAAAGGACGTGACGTGTGGCATCCCTACTCAGAATTTGTGCTCTGCATTTAACCCATTCAAGTACACACACACACACACACACACAC